CCACTCTGAAACTGATTATTTTCAACCATTAAATGCCATCAAAGCCCATTTTGCCCCCCGTTAGTCTGGCACCCCGGGCAATATGCCCCCTTCTTCCCCCCTGGCTACGCCCCTGGCCACTGGCGCAGTCCCCCCCCCACTCCCTGAAAATTGGAAGTGCCCCCCCTCCCTGCGGGGAAAAATGTCTGAAAGAAACACTGCTTTGACTTGTTATATTTTATAGTAGGAAAAGAGCTTTGAACACAGATATGTACTCCCCAAAAAGTACATGATCTGATTGGGCAACATGGAAATCTCAATGAAGTTTGAGGGCAATGCTCTCCAATGAAGTTTGAGGGCAATTCTCACATCAATTCTCCAAGCTTGTCTGTTTCTCCATTCAGCCCCTTAATTAAAAATTGAAAAGAAGATAAATAAACTTAATTTGAAAAAAAAAAAAAAAAAAAAAAAAGAAGAAGAAAAAAAAAAAAAAAAGGGAGCAAGCGAATCTTCCACATTACAGGAGAAAGGATCAGCAAAAAGTTGAAAGGTGGTTGTATGTGTCTTGAAGTCTAAATCATGTCATCAAATTTTTCCTGTGGATGTACAATGGCATCAGTATAGTTACTACTGAATGGTGTGCCCGAGTCCATTAGTACTTTTCATGTTGGGATTTGCCAAACCTTTCTCTAACAACCATAACACAAGTTTGGTGCAGAATGTCCAGACATTTTCATAGGCAACATTGACATGCTGCCCCTGGTCTTGTTACTTTTTTTGAGTACATTCGGCTCCTGTGTAATGCCAACAAGAAATGCCAAGTCCATGATCCATTTGAGATCACTTAGTACAGGAACAGCCTTCCCACCCTTTTCCATGAATGCTTAAAATGTTAAAATGTTTTAAGACCGTAGGAAGGAGAAGGTAATATTTATGAATTATTGATGTGAAGGAAGATGCTAGTGTAGGGAGAATAAAGTTTGATTTTTTATCGCAGAAAAGGCCTTTTTGACTAACCCTATTTTGAAATGGAACCAAGCGGACAGGCTCGGAATTTCCCTTACTCGTTAAAAGTAGGGGCAATTTTAATTGGGGTTCTTTGATACTGTGTGAGATTGCTACCACTTACACAATTATGCTTGTGCATTACTCATTTACTGACTTTCGCAAAATCGCACTTTGGCCGCCATGTTTGTCTCATAAAATGCTATGAAAGAAAAACTTTTAGTTCGGTTTTAAAACGATTCTTACCATTATAATCAACGTCTAAGTCTATCAAAATCACAATAAAAATCAGAATTAGACTAACCGCTGAGATTCGAATGAAACCGTCACAGGGGTCACATTATAAAGATATAAGAATGGGGAAAACTCGCGGGCCCATTAAACTAACATCTGGTGTCATGTAGCAGGCCGCGGCCGCGAGTTTGAGATCCCTGAAGAGAAAAAAAGGAAGCCAAATTAAACAGTAATCACAGGCTATTGAAGGATTGAAGTATCGATAGCAGTTGCTTATATTTATAATTTTATAAATGTTTAAAAAAAAAAAAATATTCTGGTTGTTTGGAAATCATTCGCAAAAGTTAGTGTGAAAAATTGTATATCTATTGCAAGAAACGTAAAATCGGAAATCATAACACAAAAATCGAAAACACGCCTACGAAACAAACTTTGGCTTTTATATAAGTTTTGGCCTTTGGTAAACGTCAGCCAGTTAAAAGTTTAAACGAAAAAAACCTGTCAGTTCTCACTAAGAAAACATGAGGAATCAGCAAGTGTGATTGTTATTTTAAAAGAGTTTATTGTCCTTGAAATCTCCAGATCAGTGGGTGAGGGAGTGGTATTTGTATTTTTAATATATACTTCATACATGCGTGCAATTCCTGTTTATCAGAGAGCAACTCGTTTCTGTTTTCCCCAGCCCCAGAAGTGACCACGAGCCTTAAAACCACTGAAACTCGAAGTTCTAGTGACGTCAGCGGGAGCCGGCACAGTGAGAAAAGATTTTCTACCACAGTGTCTCCACCAGGTTGGTGCATTGTTAGATCGTTGCAAGTAGAAACGAAATTTTCTTTCATTTTATTCAACATTATTACGCAAGATGGTCTGTTTAGAAGATATTTTTTACAATTTATTGGACTCGTTTGGCTCTGTGGTGTGCCTTGCTACCATTCTTTACAGACATTCTTTGTATGATAAATCTTTAAAACATTATGATCTAATGTTTAATGCTAAACTCGTCTTCAAAGAAATTATTTCTTTTAAAATATTTTTTAATTGCTCACTACAATTCAGTAATGTAGAAATTTCGCCTTACCCATATTCAGGGGAGTGTTTGGAAACCAACACCCCCTCCCCTACGCAATGATTAATTCTGTGGCTCATGGTATCGAGAGAGTTCACTGTGAATATTAGTAATTTAGAAAAATACATTAACAAAAATTGTTCTTACATTGTTCAATTATAAAAAGGAAATTGAGAACAAACTATTACAATTTCAAAATTTAATCATATGCCCGGGGCGGGGGAGGGGGGTTATGAATGGCTGTGTAAAGATTACAATTTAAAACGTCAAACATCTGGCGGGGTTCTAGATGGCTGTGTAAAGATTACACTTTAGATACACAACTCAATAATAAATCAAATTCGTCAACAATTCAGATCCATAGAATGTTAAACAAATGAGTTTTAGTATTCCTAAAAAAATTTTTTTTCATTGTTTTTTAAATTTAAACATCGGATTTAAATTGTGGACGGCTATTCGTTCACACATAATTCATTTCAAATGTGTCGTTGGCTGTGCGCTCACACATAATTCATTTCAAATGTGTCGTTGGCTGTGCGCTCACACATAATTCATTTCAAATGTGTCGTTGGCTGTGGGCTCACACATAATTCATTTCAAATTTGTGGATGGCTGTGTGCTCACACATAATTCATTTCAAATGTGTCGTTGGCTGTGCGCTCACACATAATTCATTTCAAATGTGTGGATGGCTGTGCGCTCACACATAGTTCATTTCAAATTTGTGGATGGCTGTGTGCTCACACATAATTCATTTCAAATGTGTCGTTGGCTGTGCGCTCACACATAATTCATTTCAAATTTGTGGATGGCTGTGCTCACACATAGTTCATTTCAAATTTGTGGATGGCTGTGTGCTCACACATAATTCATTTCAAATGTGTCGTTGGCTGTGCGCTCACACATAATTCATTTCAAATGTGTCGTTGGCTGTGCGCTCACACATAATTCATTTCAAATGTGTCGTTGGCTGTGCGCTCACACATAATTCATTTCAAATGTGTCGTTGGCTGTGCGCTCACACATAATTCATTTCAAATGTGTCGTTGGCTGTGCGCTCACACATAATTCATTTCAAATGTGTCGTTGGCTGTGCGCTCACACATAATTCATTTCAAATTTGTGGATGGCTGTGTGCTCACACATAATTCATTTCAAATGTGTCGTTGGCTGTGCGCTCACACATAATTCATTTCAAATGTGTCGTCGGCTGTGCGCTCACACATAATTCATTTCAAATGTGTCGTTGGCTGTGCGCTCACACATAATTCATTTCAAATGTGTCGTTGGCTGTGCGCTCACACATAATTCATTTCAAATGTATCGTTGGCTGTGCGCTCACACATAATTCATTTCAAATGTGTCGTTGGCTGTGCGCTCACACATAATTCATTTCAAATTTGTGGATGGCTGTGCGCTCACACATAATTCATTTCAAATGTGTCGTTGGTTGTGCGCTCACACATAATTCATTTCAAATGTGTCGTTGGCTGTGGGCTCACACATAATTCATTTCAAATTTGTGGATGGCTGTGTGCTCACACATAATTCATTTCAAATGTGTCGTTGGCTGTTCGCTCACACATAATTCATTTCAAATGTGTCGTTGGCTGTGCGCTCACACATAATTCATTTCAAATTTGTGGATGGCTGTGCGCTCACACATAATTCATTTCAAATTTGTGGATGGCTGTGTGCTCACACATAATTCATTTCAAATGTGTCGTTGGCTGTGCGCTCACACATAATTCATTTCAAATGTGTCGTTGGCTGTGCGCTCACACATAATTCATTTCAAATTTGTGGATGGCTGTGCGCTCACACATAATTCATTTCAAATTTGTGGATGGCTGTGCGCTCACACATAATTCATTTCAAATTTGTGGATGGCTGTGGGCTCACACATAATTCATTTCAAATTTGTGGATGGCTGTGTGCTCACACATAATTCATTTCAAATTTGTGGATGGCTGTGCGCTCACACATAATTCATTTCAAATTTGTGGATGGCTGTGCGCTCACACATAATTCATTTCAAATGTGTCGTTGGCTGTGCGCTCACACATAATTCATTTCAAACTTGTGGATTGCTGTGTGCTCACACATAATTCATTTCCAATTTGTGGATGACTGTGTGGTCACACATAATTCATTTCCAATTTGTGGATGGCTGTGCGCTCACACATAATTCATTTCAAACTTGTGGATGACTGTGCGCTCACACATAATTCATTTCAAATTTGTGGATGGCTGTGTGCTCACACATAATTCATTTCCAATTTGTGGATGGCTGTGCGCTCACACATAATTCATTTCAAATTTGTGGATGGCTGTGCGCTCACACATAATTCATTTCAAATTTGTGGATGGCTGTGCGCTCACACGTAAGTCATTTCAAACTTGTGAAGTTGAGCTCAATCCCAAGAAAAGTAAATGGAACCATTGTTTTGTCCTTTAGTAACATATCCTACTTTTCCTGTCCCATATTAATTATGAGACTTGGAAAATGTAAAAAGAATTCTCTTATCACCTCACAAAGCACGTAATTCCTCCATTTATTACTCCGTTATTCCTCCCTTCATGAGAAGACGACCCCTCCCTTCTTGAGAAGACGCCCCCATCTTCATGAAAAGACGCCCCCTCCCTTCATGAGTAGACGCCCCCCTCCCCTTCATGAGTAGACGCCCCGACCTGAGTTTGTAAAACATGTTTTTGTACCAGTGACCAACACCACTGACCTTCAAGTAACCGAGGAGAGCTTGGACCTTTCTCTTAAGGTGCTCATCGCCACAGCGACCTTCGTTGCTATGTTAGGAGAGTTTTCTTTCTTCACCATCGCATGGATCTTCTGGAGGAAGGCAAGATCAATGGCGGCGATCAGGTAGGGGCCCCAGCGAGCGCTTTTAATTGTATATGTTTTGTAGTTCGAAATATTCAGTTAACACAATCTTCGTAAGTACAAGATAATTTACTGACCAATCTCTCCATCAAAGCTTACACGCGTGAAGAACTTAACGTTTTTTTTAAAGCTGCATGTCTTGCAAACTACATGGTAGAAATTTCGTAATATTTGCTTAGTATGTTCATAACGTATAATGTCCTATTTGATGTTAACAGCATCAGTGAGGTATTATAGACATCGAATATGCAACATGATGTAACCATTACGATTGTTCATGGTTTAATCCGTTTAAAAAAAAAAAAAAAACAAAGAAAAAGGTTGGAATCAGCAAAAACAACCACAAAGAAAAAAAAAACAAAAAAAAATAGGTATTATAGACATCGAATATGCAACATGATGTAACCATTACGATTGTTCATGGTTTAATCCGTTTAAAAAAAAAAAAAAAACAGAGAAGAAGGTTTGAATCAGCAATGACCACCTCTAAGGAAATGACGTCAGAAAAAAACACCGATGCTCTGAAAAATGGGGCAGTTCAAATATGGATCTAGATTTGAGACAAACCAGACGCCCCCCAAAATGATGTGGTTAGACAGAATCCTTCAAGACAAATGTTTCTAACATAAAACAATAGCACTTGGGCATTTGTGGCTTTCTATATGATATCCAGCAATTCCGTTCCTTGACTCTTGGTATTTTGAGCAAACACTTTTAAGACAGGACTTTGAGAATCGTGATTCACGGGATAGACATATATAGATATGGTTCGGACTTATTAGAACTAAAATATTGAGAGAAATTATTCCAAGAGAAATAAAAGAAGACTTTTTAGTTTCAAACAATTGAGTTTGTCGCTGACAGATTTTTTTTCCAAATGCTGTGAATAATTAAGAACATTGACATAGTCCGGTAAACATAAAAAGTAATAATAGTATGAACAAATTTCAAAATTAACGTTGATAAACTGAACGAGACATTTTTACCACCTTTGACGATAAAAACTCCCAATTGTTTTCTGTTTCATTAGCTCCCATGTCCCCTTCTATATTTTTAATAACACCATACAGTTTCCTTCGCAGCGTTAAGACTTTTCAGCTGATAGATTATGTTATTTTTTGACAACCACGAAATTAGCAAAATACGAGCCACGATAAGCAGTTATGAGATCGGCTAAAGCAAATTCAACTGTTATGTTAAAAAATTATTTTATTCCCCTGCCTTAATATTTGATACATTAGTTTATAAACATTCACATAATAACATTGGGACTCTATTTATCTAATGTCCCCTGTAGTCACATGAGTTTCACTGCTCAGCGCCACTGCTCAGCCTCTTGAAAATTAAGATCCAATACGATTATGACGACCTGGGTATAGAACATCATAAGTCTCGTACATTTTAATTTCAAAAAGGCCAGCAACCCATAACGCGCCAACCCTAAGGGCGGAAGGGCCGTGACTCAATCTTTGTTGAAATGTTCAAAGGCTACAAACTAGAATCATGTATCCAAGAGTTTCCCAAACTTTAGAAGACCTTTTTAACATCGAAACGTAGGAGAATCTAGTTACAGAGCTTCTTATTAAATGATCACTTCCAAGCCCATTTGATGATGGTAACATTAACTTTGAGCCTCAACTTCATTTCTTTATTGCACTACGGCATCTATCCATTGATGTGGCAAAACCTATGTCAGAAAAGCAGCCATTTCTTTCTTCATATTATATTTTGACACGGGATAAAAGTGTGTCTTACGATATTTTAAATATGTTGGAACGTTACGATACTGAAGAAAGGCCATTTAATTTTGGAGCAATCTATACCCCCACACCCGATCCAGAGAAAGCCATGTGACCGGCCTTCGTTTAAAAAAAAAGGAGATGGCCTACCTCGTTCCTAAAAAAAAAGCCGCGAAACTTTTTTAAAAAAGTTGAACTCGTCTCCTGATGTAACTTTTAATCATTAAGTATCGAAATATGTATCTTTGAATCATTAAGTATGGAAATATGTATCTTTGAATCATTAAGTATGGAAATATGTATCTTTGAATCATTAAGTATCGAAATATGTATCTTTGAATCATTAAGTATGGAAATATGTATCTTTGAATCATTAAGTATGGAAATATGTATCTTTGAATCATTAAGTATGGAAATATGTATCTTTGAATCATTAAGTATGGAAATATGTATCTTTGAATCATTAAGTATGGAAATATGTATCTTTGAATCATTTAGTATGGAAATATGTATCTTTGAATCATTAAGTATGGAAATATGTATCTTTGAATCATTAAGTATGGAAATATGTATCTTTGAATCATTAAGTATGGAAATATGTATCTTTGAATCATTAAGTATCGAAATATGTACATTTGAATCATTAAGTATTGAAATATGTACTTTTCAATCATTAAGAATCGAAATATGCATATTTCAATGATTAATTATCAAACTATGTACCTTTCAGCCATTAGTATCGAAATATGTACCTTTCAAACATTAAGTATCGAAAAATGTACCTTTCAATCATTAAGTATCGAACTATGTACCATTCAACCACTAAATATCGACATATGTACCTTACAACCATAAATATCTAAAAATGTACCTTTCAAAAATTAATTATCGAAATATGTACCTTTCAACAATTAAGTACCGATAACAAAATATGTACCTTTCAATCATTATTTATCGAAATATGTACCTTTCAATCACTATTTATCGAAATATGCACTCTTCAACCATTAAGTATCGAAACATGTTCCTTTCAACTATAAATATCAAAATATGTTCCTTTAAATAAATTAGTATCGAAATATGTACCTTTTAATCATTAAGTATCGAAATATGTAACTTTCAATCATTAAGTATCAACATATTTACCTTTTAACCACAAAGTATCGAAATATGTACCTTTCAGCCATTAAGTATCGAAATTTGTACCTTTCAACTATAAATATCCAAATAAGTATCTGCAATCATTATTTTTTCGAAAGATGTACCTTTCAATCATTGAGTATCGAAATATGTACCTTTCAACAATTTCATATCGAAATAAGTACCTTTCAACTAATAAGTATCGAAATATGTACCTTTCAATCATTAAGTGTCGAAATATGTACCTTCAATAATTAAGTATCGAAATATGTACATTTCAATCATTAATTAACGAAATTTATACCTTTCAATCATTAATTAGCGAAATATGTACCTTTCAAACATTGAATATTGAAATATGTTCCTTGAACTATAAACATCAAAATATGTTCATTTCAATCATTAAGTATCGAAATATGTACATTTCAACCATAAATATTGAAAAATGAAAATTTTAACCGAAACAATTTTTTTATGAATCCATTTTTTTTTCAAACGCTTATCTTTGTCTAACATTGAATTTTAGTAAAACAACTTGTCTACGGCGTAACATTTCGTTATTGATTCTTACCAATCAAAAAACCTTATTTATTTTAAAAAAAATTTTGTTTGTTTGTTTTTTTTATATTTATTTTTTTTTTTTACATTCACGTTCACATCAAAACCTTTAAATATATTTATTAGAATTAATTTCCTTGACCCTATGTCAAGGGTATGAGAATCACTATTATTAAGTGTAGATCACTGTTGTTATGTTTGGAATGTAAAAGATGTTTAGTGTAGAGATTACGTGTGTGGCTGTGTCTATTGTTTGAGATGTCTGTGACGTATTTGGGTAGGGGGAAATGACGTGTCAGTTTTGTTTTTGTTGTACTGGATAGATGACGTACCATATTGACTGTTGAACTCGTGTGTGGCCTGGTGTTGTGCTGGAACGTCTGGACTATCAGTCGTAAATTATATCACAGCAATTGTTTAAGGAATTGTTGGTGAATAAACTTATAGCGTGCAACAAACTGGTTGGTGTTTTGGTGTATTGGTATCACTTGCTGTCAGTTACAATTGCCCGTCCGATGAAGTTTAAGACAATATCTAAACAAGTAGACATCTATCATCAAGGGTAGATGAGCACAACACAGCAATTTCTACATCTCGTATTTTCCCATTTCTCCCAATGTTATTTTCAAGTCTCCACTTGTTGTGACGTCTTCGTATGTTATTGACTAGTAATATAACAACCTTCAACCCTTCCCCTTCTCCTCCGCTCGCAACATGTACAAATTTAAAGATAGGTTAGGCAGAGTTTGTACAGAATAAACCAATTTGGCTCTATCATCTGATTAATGGTTGACATTCCTGCCGTTCCATAACACAAAATCTGAGAAAAACTTTATTCATGTTCACCTTATCACTATCGATCAGTAAAGAGCAATACTTACTGTCAAATGAAAAAATATATTCTCTCTCTTTACAGGAATCTATTTCAAAACCCAGATCAGCCAGGTCCGAAAACAGCCATCTCAGACAACCCCAATGATGATAAAACATCGTTGGGTTCTGCTATCACTGACCGGTTCACCCAAGTGACACCGGATGCAGTGCTAGATCAGCATGATGATCTACATTCAGAGCCAATGTCAAGAACTGAACTCGTCTACTTGGCGGCTCAGAAAACTCCTGGCCAAGAGTTGATTGACCGTTCCGATATCATGTCAGGCATCTCTCGCGTCAATTCGGAACATCAAGGAAGCGGAAGGCGTTCAAAACTAATTTGATACAATACATCAAAACTTACCACACCAGAGCTAACCACCCAGAACTTACCACACCAGAGCTAACCACCCAGAACTTACCACACCAGAGCTAACCACCCAGAACTTACCACACCAGAGCTAACCACCCAGAACTTACCACACCAGAAATTACCACACCAGAACTTCCCACCTGATAACTTTACCACACCATAACTTTCTACTCGATAACTTAGCACACGATAACTTACCACACCAGAACGTAACACATCAGAACTGAAACTTACATTTAAATGAACAATTGTCATCGATTGGTATACCGTACTAAATGTCTTTATTTCACATGACACATCTAACAGAGGTACCGACGGTTCAAATTGAAACACATTTTTTTTTTCTTTTTTGGAATATAACATTTTCTCTACAACACATACACTGGAGGTGGTAAAATATTTACTATTCAACACATACACCTCGAGATCAGGGATAGTCCTATTGGAAATGAGGGCTGAGCAGAGTACTGACACGCATACACTAAAATGAATAAGAACCACTTGGTTAGGATTATATTCTTGAGCTATTAGTGTTTCGAATCCTTTAACTTTGATGCCTTCGTGTTCACCCATTGTTCATCTTTGATTCCTTCGTAATCACAACTGGTTATATACATCCTCGACAGTGATGCCTTAGAGATCGCTAGTTATTCGATTCATGTTCATCTTTGATATGCATCGCCATTGCTACTTGCTATTTAGTTATTAATGATTTGATTCCTTCAACTTTGATGCCTTGGTGATCGCTACTGGCTCTTTACATGTTCAACATTGATGCCTTAGTGATCGCTACTTATTTATACATGGACATTTCACTTATCCACGTTGGATGAAACACATAATTTAAAATGATATTCCGGATCCGGGAGTCATCAAATATTTTGATTGTTAAATAAAACGTTGTAATTGTTTCGTTTCAAGTTGTTTTCATAATAGCAAAATTTTTTTTATTGTTTTATAACTTCTTAGATGACATGGACGAAACTGCATGATTCCCTGAACAATATTTACTTTGTCAATTTGTCATGTCCGAAGTCATGATGTTAAGATAAATCAGCCATGTATGAAGCTCGGGAACTGTTTATCAAATGTTTTCAACATATATGGGTTGCCATGACAACAAAGAAACATAGAATTACTATAAATTCGGAATTGTTTTCACTAAAAAAAAATTAACCATTGAGATCGGTGTTTCCCAACGTGGGGTCCACTTCCTACATGGGGGGCAATTTGAGTGCTTAGGTGGGGAGGGGGTGGGGCGCATTCGAAAATATTAAGTCATATTTGAAGTACTTTCAAATTTTAAAGACAAATTTTGAAAAAAAAGCAACATTAAAGTCTCTATACTGCAACTGTCAATCGTACTCTTGAGGCTTGTTACGAAATGTCCTTACTCATCGCTCTATCTTGCAAATCATGGTGCAAGAGAGAATTAATCAAACCATCAATATCAACATTTCTTGAAACGGATCTGGAAAGAAGTTGACAAATACATGAAAGCCATGCAACTCAGTGACAATACTGCTAGCAGAAGAATAGACGAAATGAGTGAAGATGTTGAAATACAACTTGTTGAAAAGTTAAAAAAAAATAAAAAAATTTCAGTGCAAATGGATGAATCAACTTTGAGAGACAGGAGGCTGTATTGATAACTTATTTAAGATAGATTGATAAAGGAGATTTTGCTGAAGAAATGTTGTTCTGTCAATCATTAGAAAGTGCCACTACCGCAAAAAATAATTTATAATAAGCTAAAAAGATATTTAGATGCCAATGATAAACCAATGAAAAAATATAATAGATTGTACTGGGGATGGTGCTCCTAATATGATGGGGAAGAAAAAATCTGCTTAACATTAATGAAAGATGATAATCCAAAAATTAATCAATGTGTTATTTATAGAGGAAACTTACTAACTAAAACCATTTCGCCTGTTCTAAATGAAGTACTATGCTCAGTTATAAAGTGTATCAATGTTTTCAAAACTATTGCCAATGTGAACTTATCTTCAAGTTATTTTGTGAAGAACAAAGTGCAGACTATGTGAGACTTTTACTTCACATTGAAGTAAGATGGCTTTTGAAAGGGAATTGCTTGAAAAGATTTATGGAACTATTTGATAATCTTGTGAAAAACCTGAAGAAAAAAAAATCTGTTAACTGTCGATGGCGAAGCACTTGTGTGTTATTTAGCCGATATCTTTGAAAAACTAAATATATTAAATACCCAACTTTAGGGAACAAATAAAACTATTGTCGATGCAAAGTTGAAGATATTTGGTTTCATTACCTTTATGCAACAAAAATTATGAAAAAGTTTCATTTGCTCCAAAAATGTGAAGTGACTGATACAGCTTTACTTGTTACTGTCGATCGTATGAAAAGTCAATCGGCTGATGCAAAAGAAAGATCTCCTGATTTGAAACAAATTGATTTTCCAACTTGGATGATGCAGCCCATGTTATTGGATTCGGCTGATATTTCAAATATGCAATATCAAGAAGAACTCGCAGGAATGCAAAATGATGAGTCAGTTAAAACTTTATTTAATATAAAAAGAGCGATGGTTAGGCTTTGCCAAGAAACGGAAATCAAATATCTAAATTCAACCAAAACTATTGCTACCGATTCCATCTTTTTATTTAGTCATATGTAGACTTAGTGCTGCTTTAAAAACAAAAGAAATAAAAAAGAAATCGACTGTATATAACACAATGGGGAGACTTGAGACTGAAGCTAACCATATTGTAACCTAACATAAAACCTCTTTGCAACAAGCATTACGCACTAACATCTCACTAAATTTAAATAATAAATAATTACTAATAATTAAATTAATATACAATAATCTTTCATTAAAATTATTTCGTACTTGAATTTCATTTCTCAATTTAAAGTGTTGAAAATTTATTTACCATGTTTCCTCACCAATTTCCTAGTGATTTTTCCCTAAAACATATCATTTAAGTTTCTTCAGTGAACAATCCTATTTTGGAATATTACAAATTATGAATATGATTCATGGGAGCATAAAAATTTTAGAAAGGCTTTGGTGGGGCATGGCACAAAAAAGGTTGAGAGACACTGATGTAGATCCTCTTATCTGATTCCCAATACAACTGCACTATGTGTCCTTGTAATGATGAAGTCCTCTCATCGCATTCCCTTTACAACTGTCCTATGTGCCCTAGTTAAGATGAGGTCGTGTCATCTGATTCCCATTACAACTGTCCTATGTATCCTAGTAATGATGAGGTCCTGTCATCTGATTGTCAATACAACTGTCCGATGTATCCTAGTAATGATGAGGTCCTGTTATATCATTCTCAATACAACTGTCATATGTGTCCTTGTAACGATGAGGTCCTCTCATCTCATTCCCATTACAATTTGTCCCATGTATCCATGTAATGATGAGGTCTTGTCATCTGATTCTCAATACAACTGTCCTATGTGTCCTTGTGTTGATGAAGTCCTGTCATCAGATTCTCAATACAACTGTCCCTTGTGTTGATGAGGTCATGTCATCTGATAATGATGAGGTCCTGTCATCTGATCATGATGAGGTCCTGTCATCTGATAATGATGAGGTCCTGTCATCTGATAATGATGAGGTCATGTCATCTGATAATTATGAGGTCCTGTCATCTGATAATTATGAGGTCCTGTCATCTGATAATGATGAGGTCATGTCATCTGACAATGATGAGGTCCTGTCATCTGATAATGATGAGGTCCTGTCATCTGATAATGATGAGGTCCTGTCATCTGATTCTCAACCTTGGCCTTGTGGTAGTGCATTTACATAAGCCCACCCTCATTCGCCCCCTCTCCCGACTACCCACCATGTTGTAGTTACGTCACCATTCAACAAGTCGTGCCTCCGGCAGTAATGTCTGAGCAGATTGGATTAATGTTTTTAAAAAATATTTTGAATTTTTAAAAAAAGATAAACGAATTAGTCTTAAGAATTATTGTTAAAAGGAAAATTATTTTATCAAAGCCACAACTTAATTTATGAAATGGCGACGTATCATCCAAATAATGCTCCCTTGGGTTATCCAGCGGCGTGGAGAGAGGCGATTTGCTGTTGGGAACCAGCTTATATTCCTAGAAGAAGAATCCCGGGGCTTGTGAATACTGAGCTGCGAGGTCTTAACTATCGTCACTTTGTGACGGACGGATGCCAGCTTCAATGTAACACCTTTATCATGAAAATTCTTTCTTTGCATTTTGATTCACTCCGAGTTTTTGAGCTTCAATTCTATGCGCAAATGGGAAGCAATGTCGTGCTTAGCTTCGCACAACATAGATTTCAAGCTGTTCCGAAGATTAGTCAGTTCTGAAATTAAGCTTTTTAAGTTGGAAACTTTGACATCTAGTGCTGCGTTCCTGGACCGAATAACCTTGTTACATATATCCATACAACATTCATTATCACACAAATGAAGAATCAAACATAATTTTTAAAAAAAAACACCAGACAACATAAATAATCACACAAATGAAGAATCAAACATAATTTTAAAAAACACCAGACAACATAAATAATCACACAAATGAAGAATCAAACATAATTTTAAAAAACATCAGACAACATAAATAATCACACAAATGAAGAATCAAACATAATTTTAAAAAACACCAGACAACATAAATAATCACACAAATGAAGAATCAAACATAATTTTAAAAAACACCAGACAACATAAATAATCACACAAATGAAGAATCTGTCGAGTATGAGCGTTCATTAGTAATTGTTGTGACTCAATATTATGTTCATTAGTTGTTGAACGCTTTTCCCGCGCTTGACTATTATAGTTAGTGAACGCTCTTCCCGCCATTGTCTTTATGACGTATTTTTATGCTGAGTCGTGACGTATTGTCTATGCAGTGTTGTGACGTATGTTTTAGTCGTGCTGGCAGTCTTGAGTGGAACCTTGGAGTGATAGGATGTTTATTATATTTACTTAGATATTAAAGTTATAGTTATTATGAAAAGGAGTTGAGTTTGTTAATTGATAGTGAGAATAGTACGACTCTTCAACGTATGAAAGAACTGACGAATGTAATCAATCCAAGAAGACGTTTAGGAGTTGACATGGGGGCTTCTCATCCGGGATTGGTGAACCTCGTTATTTTCATACTTGAGGTAAAGTACAAGAACATTCTTATTATTCAACTTTAGTGAAGTTACAACCATCGTCGCATGTTCCCGTATTTCAATGTCGGAGCCCCGCTGCCACCGTGTGTCAAGTTTATATGAGTTGCATACGCCAGTAACTCCATCAACCACCTACGTCCTGTATTAGGCTAGTTATGTCCTAACCTGCAACAGGCTAACTACGCCCTGCCCGTTATCAAGTTGCCAACGTCCTGTCCAGTTCCAGTGAAATAACTACGTCCTGCCCGTTATCAAGTTACTAACCTCGTGTCCAGTTCCAGTGAAATAACTACGCCCTGCCCGTTATCAAGTTGCCAACGTCCTGTCCAGTTCCAGTGAAATAACTACGCCCTGCCCGTTATCAAGTTACTAACCTCGTGTCCAGTTCCAGTGAAATGACTACGTCCTGCCAGTTATCAAGTTACTAACCTCGTGTCCAGTTCCAGTGAAATAACTACGCCCCGCCCGTTATCAAGTTGCCAACGTCCTGTCCAGTCCAGTGAAATAACTACGTCCTGCCCTGTATGAAGCTACCAATGTCGTATCCAGTTACAGCAAATTAACTACGCCCTGTCCGTTATCAAGTTACCAACGTCCTGTTCAGTTCCAGTGAATTAACTACGCCCATCGCTGCATCGAGTTATCTAAGTCCTGTCGGTAGTGAGCTACCCACTCCGTGTTCAGTTGGAGTGAATTAACTACGACCATCGCAATTAACTACGACCATCGCTGCATCGAGTTATCTACGTCCTGTCGGTAGTGAGCTACCCACTTCGTGTTCATCTCCAGTGAATTAACTACGCCCCTCCACGTATCGAGTTATCTACGTCCTGTCGGTAGTGAGCTACCAACTTCGTGTCCAGTGAGCTGTGAAGTCATGCGGCCTGTCCGGTCACTCAGTTTAACAACGCCCTGTCCTGTTTCAACGAGCCACCAACGTCCCGTCCTGCATCAAGCTGCACGTGCCCGATCCTGTATTGGCGAGTTACACACGAACTGTCCAGTGTCGGCGATTCGCCTACATTCTGTCCAGTGAGCTGCTGATGTCCCGTGACCCGTCCCGGTCACCCACACCTCAATGACTGTGTCCCAAGATCGCCATATAGGACAATTGAAGTTTGTGAGAGAACTATTGACAGTAAAGAACCATTGACACTTAATTAAGCCCTGTGTGTGTTTTGAATAATATTTACATTCTATAGGACTTTCCACGAACCAGGCAAGTTGGATTTTATTGTTTAAAATATTATTGGCATAAATTTTCTCATGTATTTACATTTTTTTTTGTACCTGGGTAGAATTTAGCTTCCTGCTAGAGTTAGTTTAAACAGACTGCGATTGGTCCTTAAAACATAATTATTGTTTACTGTATGATCACACTTAATTTGCATTGATATGGCTGGATATGTCAGTAGGAAATGGAGTTTAGAAGAAATTAGGCATGTGGGTGTGTTACTTTGTTATACCGGAGAGAACCTAGAGGAGTATATTAGAGTTAAGTTCGAAGAACACGTACGGGAAGAGAGAGAGGATGAACTTAGAGCCAGAGAGGATGAACTTAGAGCCAGAGA